TTATCATTGTAAACACCTACATTTAAGCACAAATGGGTGCATATAATTTATCTTGACATGTTTCACCAGCCTTTTTTCCCCACTTTTTCCTTTATGTGGCTATCTTTTTAACCTACATTGGTCTACTGTATTAATAATGCTGGTGTTAAAATCACTACAAAATTCCCTATCAGTTAAAAAGCTTACGCAATTCAGATCAACAGAGAAAAGTTCCTACATATCTTAGCAATCACCAAAGATGGGTTTTCCTGTCGGCTTCGTTGAAGGCATGTAGAAAGGGCTAATTCTAAGGCCCATCACAAACCTGGAATGGGACAATAAGAAGGTAAAGAGAAGGCCCTTATCTTTTACCTTGAGTTTCACAAATTTGTATTTAGGATCTAACCATCACATCAACCTTGACCTGTCTGCTTCTGATTCAGATTATGGCAAAGAAGAGAAGAAAGAGTTCACAAATATCCCATCATCATTTCCCCCTTCTCTTATTTTCATTATCTTACACGCATAATGCAAATTCATGTTGCAAGCTATTCTGTCAGAATTCCAGACTATAAACTCTCCTGGGCATAAATGTGCTGATATTAGTTCATGCTCAGCCACACAAAGATTTGAAGAACAATAGACTTGCTCTGTGAAGAAAAGGTAAGAGTGACGGGAAAAGGTAAATGGGCCACAGTTAATTTGCATGGATAAAAGACTATTGGTGTCATGTAAGTCATTCTCTGTTCCAGAGAACATTGTAGCATAGACAATACAGAACAGAGATCTATTTTGTTCAGAATATCCTAATTCAAATGGGGATAACTTTTGACATGAACAACTTCATTTAGGCATAAAGGCAAGTATTCTGAGAGGTTTCATAATTTGAAATGAATATCTGGGAAAATTATAGCATTCACTGTTTTGGTGCAATTTAGATTATACTGGCTTCTACCACTTGGAATTGCATTACATTAAATCTTATTCATCCCTTCTCTATGTGTATATTTGTTGAGTATATACTACATGCTAGTGTTTTCTGCACATAGATAAACACCTACTTATCAGAGTATAATTTGATTACTCAATCACTTGTCAAAACGTTAAATAAGCTCCTCCAATGAGTAAGTAACAAGACAAAGATCTGCATTAAAAAGATAAATTTTCTACATTGGATAAATTCTTAGATTTATATGGAAGATAAATAATTGTTTTTAAATGCAGGGCAATATGCAATGAAACAAGGGTTAATTCTTGGAAGGCACAATGAGCTACTTATTAGAAAGATGACTGAAACTTCACAGAAGCAACACTGCTTAAATTAGATCATGATGAATGAGTAACAAGGTGTCAGGTGAAAAATAAATTACATGTATAAATGGCTTTGTTTGTTTAAGGAGCTATGTGAGTTCCATGAAACCAAAGCTCAGATCAGAGGTTTTCAGCAAGGGACACTTTAATTAAAAAAAAATAAAAAAAAAGGTTTATTTATCTGAAAGGAAAATAGAGGTAAAGAGAGAGAGAAAGAGAATCTTCCCTGTGTTGATTCAACCCTCAAGTGGCTGCAACAGCTAGTGCTGTATGAGGCCAAAGCTCAGAGCCTGGGACTCAGCTGAATCTCCCACATGACTCTCAGGGGCCCACTAAAAGGGCATTCATATGTTGTTTTTTTGAGGTGCATTAGCAGGGAGCTGGATTGTTAATGAAGCATCCAGGGCTCACACCAGCACTCAGATAGAGGATGCTGGTTTCACAAGGCACAGCTTAATCCACTGCACCACAATGCTGGCCCTTAAGCAAAGGGCAATTTTGTGTCCATGACATTTTTGGCAATTTCTGGAGCCATTTTGAATTGCTATATATTGCGAGGCAATGCTATGGGAACCTAATGAGTAGGGGATACTGCTCAACACCCTACGTTGTACAGGACAGTTGTCTCACCCAACACCCAAAAAAATCACTCAGCAAAAATGTCAGCAGTAATTTAAGATAAGTTGGCAAAGGATCAATAGGAAAACAGATTACAAAGAAAGTCAATGGACCCAAATACAAAGCTTTCTGAATTTCTTCTGGGTCTTGTGATGTGGAGAAAGCAATATTGTTTCAACATGATAATTATAGTATCATCTTTATTTTCTTGGATAACTATATATGCTACAGTATGGGAGATACATTTGTTGATACTAGAATTGAATGCTATGATAACAATAGATTATTGCATTAATTATAGTATTAATTCCTATAACTATGAGAGAATGAAATAAGACAATGGAGAGGGCTGGTGCCGTGGCTCACTTGGTTAATCCTCCGCTTGCGTTGCTGGCATCCCATATGGGCACTGGGTTCTAGTCCCGGTTGCTCCTCTTCCAGTCCAGCTCTCTGATATGGCCCGGGAGGGCAGTGGAGGATGGCCCAAGTGCTTGGGACCCTGCACCCACATGGGAGACCAGGAAGAAGCATCTGGCTTCTTCAGATTGGCGCAGCGCCAGCTGTAACGGCCATTTGGGGAATTAACCAACAGAAGGAAGACCTCTCTCTCTCTCTCTCTCTCTCTCTCTCTCTCACTGTCTATAACTCTACCTGTCAAATAAAAAAAAAGACCATGGAGAGAGATATAGAATAAGAAACCATAATATAATACACATAATAACTTACTCGGGAAATGTAGGTTTAAGAAGCCATTATTTCACTCTTGGAAAAATATATGAGAAGATTTAAATTTCATTTAAAGCAACACCTAAAAAAATACATGTACATAGAACATTAGTCTACTTTGGCTTGAATTTATCCATTTACCATTTTAATCTCCTTTTAAAAATATTTTCTTAAAATATCTTTCGATGAATCCAGATCTTTAGCAACTTCTTGAACCAGGCAATCACTGATGATAATAAAACATAGGAATATTTGTTCACATTATGGATCTCAAACTGTTTGTCTCCTCAATATTATTAAGAAAATTCTCCAACAAGTACTAACTGGTAGTCAGCTTTTACCATATTAAAGTAGACATAAATCTCACAGAGATTAAAATACAGGCATAGGCTCCTCTTGTCAATATTTAATATTGTGTGTTTTTAAAAATATCTCAGCATAGAATGTGGAAATCCCCCCTTATTCTTTCAAGAGCTTTAATTAAAATAGGAATATATGACTCTTTTGGAAGATACTGTCCAGATGGACAGAGCCTCTGATTTTGTGTTAAATAGAACCAAATGCCAGGCTACATTTGTACAGCAATGAACATTCGTGCAAATCTGAAGAGTAGGCAGGTGCAAGAGCAAATTTCTTAATGCCATTTGCTCTGAAAATTATATAAAGCTTCTAAAGCAATGCTTGATATAGTAGCTAAAGGAGTTTTGTTTGGTATTTTTAAACAATAACACCTGCTGCAGGCAGAAAAGCAAGTGCCTGTACAGCAGGAAGTGGGCTGCTTTTGGTGGGGAGAAGAGTTCCAGAGCTGATCTCCAATAAGTGATGAGACAATGAAACAAAATAAAAATTGGAAAATGCTGGGGTGGGTGTTAGAGATAGAGGTAGGAGGGCGGGAGGAGAAAGATTTTGTCTTTTGCACTGACAGATGCCGGCAAATGGAAGCAATTCAGCCCAGCCAAGGAGATGGCAGAAGTCCACAGGACTCCATCTGGGCCTGTTTCTTTGGCCTGTGATGCCTGGCAGATCTTTCCCCTGGTAGGCCTAAATTTCCCTTTCTCTTTCCACAGAGGCCTGTGATGACAAGTCCTTTATGTCAAAGTATCATGATTGACTATCAGGAGCTTAGCAATTGTCATTTCTCTGTTGTTCGGTGAAATTACTCTCATTCTTAGTGACTAATTAAAGTCAATGGTTTCTTAATTCAGAGTATTCTCATTGAAGCTGAATTCTCCCTCACAAGGTATTTTGGTAACCTCCTTAAGCAGATTATCTGATTTTCATATTTTAACATTTTATTCTGTGATTTCTTAATATGTATGTCTGGTCCAGGGGCTGCTAGTGATTCATTCATATGTTCATCGTTCATTCAAAGATGTCTTACTGTGTATTATAAAGAGATGGTGGTGCTGGAATGATGAAACTCATTTTTTTTAGTTATAGTTGTGTCGCTGACATCCTTCAGTCACTCAGTTATTTAATACACTTGTATTGATTTTTCTGAATATAGTGGCATTATAGCCATGGCAGCCATTACACTATCTATCTCCAAATTAGTCAACTGTTGTGACTTTCTGGACAGATGTCCCATTATTTTTAACATCTTCATGTATCTTCTCCCAAGAAATTATGGTGCAAGAAAAAGAATGAAAGTTTCTTAGTGGGAGGCAGACTAACTATACTTTGGCACTGAATAAGCAAGGAGTAAATGCTTGTACTGTAACCTGCACTATACTTGGTGGTAGATATACTAAAATGAAAAATATTTAACCTGTGTTCTTAAGAATCTGAAAATATTCCCCAGATATAAATGTAGAGACATACCATGATATTAAAATAGTATATGTGTACTTTTTTATATCAAATGATGGAATACATGAAATTAGAGTGCAGTACCATAGCGGCATCATTTCTTACCATCTCTGGTCTTAAGCAAATAACTGTTTTCTTGGTTGTCATTGTCTTCCTTTTGTTCCTTCTAATCCACCCACCCCATACTTTCAGCCTTGGTGGATCCATTTCCCCAGATCCCTACAGGGTTCATTTGAATTAAATATTTCTTAAACAGCCACAGCTCTTGTCAATGCAGTCCTCTTCACAGGACTTTGTCCCAAATTCTTTGCTTTCTCTTGTCTTTTGCAGTTACACATAGCAACCACTCTGCTGCTCTGAAACCCACGGTTCAGGATCTAATAACTCTGATATCCATGTACTCTATCAACACCTTTTAAAATACTTCCTTTAATAAAACATACTAGAATTATAATAACCTGAATATATCATCAATTTTTTGCTCACACCTTAATTAATACTTAATTTAAGTTGAATGGGGTACAGCATTCTCAACTGGGAAGATATCATTGCAAAAGTTAGTGTTTCACAGTCTTTATTCCACAGGAAAGTAGAAGATCTCAAGGGAATAGTTAATAATTTGGAGTCTTAAGTCAGGTTCCTAAGATAAAAGTAGAGAATAGAGGGTTCATATATTGGGAACATCCTTAAGATCAGATATTTGAGTGAAGTAGGGTTGCTTAGGGGGAGGAATTGAATAGTGATTTAGTTGTAATGCAAGACTCAGACAGTTACTTGGGGAACTCTTGTGATAGGTTGGCCTGTCAGGGTTGTGCTACCTTGAAGTACAGCAGCTGGTCCTTCCCATTGACCAATCAGAGGGCACAGGCTACAGGGGAGCAGGCATCATCACAGGTGAGGCAGCTCTTTTGGAGAAATTCCTCCAAGAACAGTCAGCCGAGAGCCTTCTGCTGCCTACACCTTCAGCTGCACTGAAAAACAAATCCACTGATTCAGAAGGGAAGCCTGAGTATCAGGCAGACCACAACGTCCATAACATTCGGTATTAAAGGAAATCAGGTTGTATTTTGGAAGTATCAAATAAAAGGGGAAATAGCATGACAAGTCTTCCTGACCGAGATAATTAGTTGTGACCTTTAACAACTTACCTACCCTACACGAATTGCACTTGCTCATACAAATCAAGAGCCAACTACATCTTTGACACTTATGGGATTTAAGTTTCTTCCAATACAACTGGGTTTGTGTTTTCACATATGTCAATATGAGAAATACTAATTACAAAGTCAAGTATGTTTGTCTATCCACCAGTCTCCCTGAAAGTGCTCTTACCTAACCTCAAACAAAGAAAGAGAAAGTAAGTGGCTTCAATTGAGCACTTACCCTACATCAGTCTGAAATCGGAAAAGACCCCCTAAAATTTACACTAAATTGTGACCCCTTAAAGTTCTCTAGAAATGCTATCCGGGGTGCCACATGCGCTACCGGAATTTGTGGTGCCTTACGATTTCACCACGGGCTTTTTACTAAATCCCCGATATTAATAAGCCCGAGAGGGTTCTTGCCTAATATTTAGAGAAGAATTCTAAATACCAGCACAGAAACGAGGTAGCATGGTACGTTTTAAGCTTTTATTTAGTAAGAAAGGTGCATAAGAGAGTGAGAGCTTTACTTAGGAGAGAGAAGTGAATGGAGGTTCATACCGAGCACCAGGAATCAGCCATGTGGATGAGCATCTAGGCCAAGAAGCCTAGAGCACATGGCCCGAAGGCCATGCGCCCTGGAGGCGCGGGGCTACAGCAAGCCCCTTCCTAGCAAGAGGCCAGGACAAAAGAGCAGGCCGGGCCACGCCGTGGCCTGGCTTTTAACCCACTTCCAAAGGGGCGTGGTTAATTAACCTGATTGGCTGGTGGGCACCCACGTGTGGCCAAGTAGGGAAATGAGGCCGCTCAGGGGCATAGCAAAGGCATCAGGTAGGGGCATGAGGTCACATAGGGGCGTAGCAAAAAGGCGTGGTCTTCCAGTTCACAAATTTAACAATTTTAACCTGTATGCCTGTCTACTTCAAGTCATGGCATCACTTTCTAATCTACATAACCAATTATTATAGAGTACTTATTGTCTCTTTGGCATTATAATTATATGTGCGTGCACTTCACTTTTCAATCTTCTATGTTCTGAGGATGACATCACTGATTTAAACAAGACTGATAGGCAATTAAATTCATATTCACCTGCTTAGTAGTCATGAGACCTCTGATTCACTAAGTATATTCAACCTCAATATCTTCATCAGTAAATAAGAACTTATTTACTTTTATGAAATAAATGAGAACACTTCAAAAAGTTGATACAAAAATTCGAATTCAAATTTAAGTTTATGGAATGGCAGTTGGCATAGCAGCAGTTAAGATATTACTTGGGAGGCTTGCGTTTCATATCGGAATGCCTGTTTTCAGGTCCTATCTCTTCTCCCAATCTAGTTTCATACTAATGCACACCCCCGAGGGCCATTAGCAATGGCACAAGTACTTGGGTGCTTGTCAATCACATGGAAGATCTGCATAGAAAAGAATTCTGACTCCCTAGCCTCAGCTTGGTATAGCCTTGGCCCTTGTGGGTGTTTGGGAAGCAAGCCAGCAAATGGACGATCTCTCTCTCTTTCTCTCTCTCTCTCTTTCTCCCTCCCTCCCTCCCTCCCTTTCAAAAAAAACAGAACCAAATAAATTGTGAGAATTTGGGAAGCAAAACAGCAAGTGGATAATCTCTGTCCTTATTTCTCTGTCTTTCTGACTTTCAATAAATAAAAGTAAATACATTTTTAAAAGATAAAATTTACATTGATACAGAATTTTTGAAGTTCAAAGCCATATTTTTCTTTTTTATAAAGATTTATTTTATTTATTTGAAAGGCAGAAAAACAGAAAGAGAGGGAGACAGAGAGAGAGAAAAGGATCTTTCATCTGATGGTTCACTCTCCAAATGACTGACAGGGCTGGGTCAGACCAACGCTACGATTTGGGACCTGAATCTATGTCTCCTACAGGGGTGGCAGGGGCCAAAGTAATTCATCTATCTTGCACTGTTTTCCTAGGCACATTATCAAGAAGCTGAGTTGGAAGTGGAGAAGCCAAGACTGCACTCTGATGTGGGCTGCTAGCATCACAAGTGGTAGCTTAAACCTTGTGCCATAATATATATTTTACATAATATACATTTACATATATATTTTTCATAAATATTTATATTTTACATAATATATATCTTACATAAATATTCTGTGTATTTTACATTTATATTTTACACAATATATATTTTACTTATATATTACATAATATAGATTTTACATAAATATTTTGAATATATTTTCATAATATATATTTTTACATAAACCTTTTGAAGTCTCTCATATGTATGGATTTCAAAATTTTATGCTTCACAATAAACTTACTTTTTATTTCCATTTTCCACAAAGTTTTGAAGGACCTCGTAAAATGTGTATAAAATACTCGGCAGGATGCATGTGTGGTAGAAGCTACTTTAGTGCTTTCCTTTCCCATTCTCAAGACTTGCTTTCCTCTTTCAGTTCCTTGTGTTCTGTCTTTCCTCCCTTTCTTGTTTCTTCCTGCAGTGCTCCTGACAGCAGACTATATGCACAAAGCATCTTATTTTTGCAGTGACTTAATCATCTCTTTTGCTGAGCAAGAGTGCATCGCTAAAGTAGTCCACAGGTCACCAGTATGGAAGTCACTGTGCTTACTTTATAAATGATTGGATCCTAGTTTTTGGTTCATGCATTCTGATTCCAGTAATCTGAGTTTATACCCACCAATTATACCAGAATTCCCAAGTGAAAATGGTACATGTGGAAAGTTGTTAACCACCAATACCAAAGATGCACATAAAAATTTGCTAACCAAGTACATATGTTGTGGTCAGTCACAACGTTCTTCTCTTCAGAAAATGAGAGTAGTCAGCAAAAAAGGAGAGAAAGATTACATTTTATTAATTTTAGTCTTTTGTTCTATTGTATTTTATTCTATTATTTCATTTTATTATACACAGGCCCAAAAAAAGGCTATGGTGTTCTTCTTTTACTGTTTTCACATACTTGAAAGGCAGTGGGTGAGAGAGAGAGAGAGAGAGAGAGAGAGAGAGATATTTTCCATTCAGTTGTTCCTATCCCTTCCCAAATGCCTGTGAGCCAGTCTAAAAGCAGGACCCTGCAGTTCCATCCAGGTATCCCACACGGATGACAGGATCCCAGGTAGCTGAGCCATCATCTGCTGAGTCCTAGGATGCATTAGTACGAGGCTGAACGATAGAAGGGATTTGCACCTGCACTTTGATGCAAGATGTGGGTATTCCAAGTCGCAGCTTAACTGACTGCATTACAGTCCACTCCTACCCCAACATGTAACTTTTAGTACACTGGCCTTTTTGTGTTAGATGGCTAAAGAAGAAATGATGAAAACATCTGCTTATGTTAGCATATATGAACTATGTCCAGTGATACTATGCCCAGTGATACTAGAAAGGGTGTTGGGTTCAATTAGTGTCTCCACAGACGCATGTCTCAGAAAATCTGAACAATTAAGGAAATTTTTCAAAACATGATAATTAAATAGAAGTAAGAAATACAATTTCCTTGGGCCTTTGGCATTTCCCTGATGTTCTAGTTTCTTCTGTTGCAGGGAGACACAGCGTAAATAAAACTCAGATATTAGCAATTGCAGGAGTAGAAACATCTGCAGAGTTAAAGAACTTTCTGATCTTCTGTATATAAAGAGAATCGAAAATGAATCTTGATGTGAATGGAAGGGGAGAGGGAGTGGATAAGGGGAGGGTTGCGGGTGGGAGGGACGTTATGGGAGGGAAGCCATTGTAATCCATAAGCTGTACTTTGGAAATTTCTATTCATTAAATAAAAGTTAAAAAAAAAAAGACAATTTGGCCATCCTTCTTAACAATTTTTCTGTTTCTGAGGGTCAATGAGTAGCTAAGTTAATGCTTCAGTGTTACATTCTCCTGTGTAAAGCTTTTAAAATTTTAATCTATTTGGCTTCTATTGCCTCTGTTTTTTTGTTTTTGTTTTTTGCTATTTTTGTTTTTGCATCCTTAAATTTTGAGTTTTTTTAAGGGGCGTGATAACATTTCTTTGACACCACTATTAATTCCCCTACAAATCTGATGTTACCTTTCTTGTCTTATCCTTAGTCAAAACACTTTTTTAGGAGCCGGCGCTGTGGCACAGCAGGTAAAGCTGCTGTCTGCAGTGCCGGCATACCGTAAGGATGCTGGTTCGAGACCTGGCTGCTCCACTTCTGATCCAGCTCTCTGTTATGGCCTGGGAAAGCAGTAGAAAATGGCCCAAGTGCTTGGGCCCTTGCATGCACGTGGGAGACCTGGAAGAAGCTCCTGGCACCTGTCTTCGGATCGCCCCAGCTCTGACCTCTGCAGCTATCTGGGGAGTGAACCAGTGGATAGACGACCTCTCTTTCTCTCTCTGCCTCTGCAGCTCTGTAACTCTGCCTTTCAAATACAAAAATACATTTTTTTAAAAAATGAGGGATTGCAAGACCATAATAAAATGATCTTACTAATCATTGAATGTAAGCATTGCATAGCCAGATAATATCAAAGGCAGTTCTTTATACATTTTCTATTTTCTTAATATTAGATCAATTTGAATGCAACACACAAAGTGAATTTTTAGATTCTGTACTCTAATTTTTTTCTCAAAACACACAATGGACTACTTCAAAATTTAGGCAGCAGTTTTGATATATGGTTCATCTAGTCAACAGATAACATTGAACTTTGTCATCTTAGAGGACTCTTGAGTATTCCAAATAATGCAAGCAGCAATGTTAGCATGACAGTTTCCTTAGAGAATGTCATTCTGAACAGTTTTGCTTCCTGAAGCGCCAGTTTAAGTCAACATACAGGTTGTGTAGTCTAAAAAGAGGCT